TGACGGCCAGTTTGCGTGGAGGTCCATAATCTTGTCCGAGGACGTGTGGCTTTGGACGCACAGAGAGCACCGGCTTGAGCAAGGAGTGGGCGTAGTAAGAGCCTACTTGTACTTAGGACCGGGCGTGGTCAGGGAGGCCGTGGTGGGCCTCGCGACGACAGGGACTAGTGGCGGGGTTAGCAGGGCGATACGCTACCTGAGGGAAGAGGTAGCTACCTTCCGAGCGGAGGACTCGAGCGACCCGTTGACCCTATTTTACAGAGGCCCTCCTCTAGATATCACGGGCGAGCTGGTGGTAGCACGGGATGGGTTTTTCCCGTATAGCATTAGGAGTCTGCGGGCGATAGTTCCGACGTTCGTAGTAGAGAGCATCTTTGGAGGTATTGGTGGAGTGGTCCAGACGTACCTAGCCTATCAGGATCTCAAGATCCTGGCGAGAAGGCCTGCCGACCTCGACTACATCTATTATTCGCTCGCGACCGGTGGGCCTCGTTGGGGTGACGAGAGGGTTCAACTTATACAGCTGGTCCGTTCGATAGACGACGAGTGACCCCAGTCTCCGTGCGTTTGGGATTGGCTAGACCGTGAGCTCCGAGCAGGCCCCGAGTACGTGACCTGCATCGGGCGGCTCTTCTCAGACGACTGGGGGAGCTGGTGGAGTGAGGACGCTGGACGACCTCTGATATACGACCATCAGTTAGCGGAGTACTACCAGGCTATAGGACAGGTGCCATACCGCGTCGAGGACGAGTTTGACGACGAGGGTTGGGAGCGAGACGACGACGAGGGCGCCGGGGAGCCAGACTGGGTCGACCCAGAGAGTGAGGTTGACGAGGAGGAGATCGACGTTACGGATGCCCATTTCCCCAGGATAGGAGTAGCAGTCCGGGCGTAGGAGGCAGAGGAGCACATTAGGACGAGAGTTGGGTGAACTTAGCTACAGATATCGACCGATAGTAGATAGCGGATCGATGGTAGAGCCGGACGGTAGAGTAGAGCTTCAGATCAACGACGCCAGATGGCCTAGACCTCTAGAGATAGTAGCGCCAGGCAGAGTGGCGGTAGATCTGCCGGCCAGAGGGGTTTCCACGGATGCGATAGAGAGCCGATGTTCATCGACGGTGTTGGCCGCAGACGTACATTTGTGGACGTACGTCATTGAGACATTCGAGTTGGACAGTCAGGGGTGGCGACGACCTGGCATGACTAGTATAGAGGTAGTGGGCCACATTTATTACTCGTCGGAGGTGCTAGCTACGGTCTATTTTCAGGGCCTCGTACACGATCATTGGCGAGAGGAGCAGGCCGCAAGGAGGGTCTTACTGGCTAGAGCGGACTCCGTGCGCGGCGAGGTAGAGCGGCTGCACGGGGGACTTCGGAGAGTGACGACGACCTTCAGGATTGGAGCCCACTTCCCGTATCCTAGCAGTCGGCTGCGAGTGACACTTCCGTGCTTTGTGGCAGAGGAGCTTTGGGGACTTAAGCGTCTGGGTGACATCTACTTTGCGGCTCTCGACTTGGACGGTGTTTGCCGAGGGTACGCTGACAGGGACTGGGTGGTGTATGCGCAGTTTGTAGCAGGGCCTCTTGTAGGCGAGCGAGGGCTCAAGTTGATTGAGTTCCTGCGGGCCATTGTACCTACCGGGAGCCCCGACCTGTATTCTCTGTACCAGCCCCTAGCCTTCTGGACGACGCTAGAGAGAGAGGCTCGGAGGCCAACTGATCATTAAGCTGGAGTGGGACAATTGTTAGCCAAGACTCGTGAGGAGAGGCCGGGCCATCTCATCTCGACCAGGGAGGTTGAGGAGTATTACCAGCAGGTATATCCAGAGGTTGACGATCTTCCGTGGTACGCCGAGGATCGGGATTGGGAGGACTTCGATGACATAGACCCTTGGGGCGACCAGGACGAGGACTGGGGAGATCTGGCGTGGTCTGAGGGACAGGAGCAGGTAGGTGGAGAGGCGCTGCAGGAGGACGGCTGGGGCCATCTCCTTCAGGCCGAGGGGCAAGAGGACATACTATGGGGGCAGAGGGTAGATGAGCATACAGACGAGGATATGCCAGATGCATGAGACGAGTAGAGTCAGGACAAATCCGAGTGAGGTTTAGAGAAGGGAGTAGTGGAGAGTATGGCAGACCGGGATATACTGAGGGTGACTCTTTCCCTACGACGAGATAGGACGGGCAGCTGGGAAGGAGAGGCGTTAGACATTGTTGAGCGACAGATCAGACTCATGACGGAACATGCCCTGGAAATACGGAGGAGGCAGAGGTACGTCGAGTTTACTATCTACTTCCATAGAGCAGACGGGAGAGCGCACAGCACCTACTCGACCATACTGGACCTGAGTGGGAGAGTTGACTGAGGAGTTAGCAACGTCGAGAGATAGGGAGTAGAGTGATGCTGATCGAGAGTCGGAGGGGAGATGAGGAGTGACTCAGTAGCTTGGTTAGCTTATGTTCTCTCACGAGAGTCCGAATCGTATAGCATGAGGAAGCTTGTGGGACCCAGAGAGACGGCGGTTGGATACGACATTCCTCTTCCCGTGGCGTTAGAGGGGACAGGGCGCGTTCCGATACGATACCTGGGAACGTGGCTCGCAGAGGGACTCTTCCTTTGGACAGTGATACTGAGAGATGAACGACCCGAGAGGACTCGTGACCTATAAGAGGTCGGACATCTGATAGCGGATAGAGCACACGATTTAGAGGTAGGACTGACGCTCGCAGGGGCAAGCAAGGCTTGGTGGAGAAGCGAGTCGTTGGCCAGAGTGATCGTTAATCAGCAACTGGCGAGACTCTTTGGAGGGAGGACGTGTTGGAGCCGCTTGGTATACGGTCCACCGCATCCGACCCTCTACCCGAGAGAGGATTGGCGATTCGGACTTCCTGCCTTCGTGATAGGGCAGACCTATGGGAGCGTAGAACGTTTGAGTAGAGCAGTGGACCACACACTTTACGCGCTCTGGGAGGGCTTAGCGCCTCGTTTCAAGGAAGTATACTACGCCATTTGTGTGAGGTGGGGACCGCCCAGTAGAGAAACGTTTGACGACATCATAGACGATACTTGCTGGGTGGATTGTCTGAGGCCAGTCGATTTGATTAAGTACTGCAAGAGACGGACGGAGATCGATTACGTGGGGCTAGAGGATGTGAGGTTTCTCTTCGAGGCCGCAGCTTAGGGAATGCCGGGAAGGACGGCCTGAGTGATGCGTGTAGGAGAGCAACTAGTAAGCACAGGGTACACGGTGACAGTACTTCTCCGAGCGTACGTAGACGAGGACTTGACGGCGAGGGAACAATGAGCCAGAGATTTGATCTACGAGCATAGAGCCGATGTACTGGCGTGGGTGACCTTCGAGACCACGATTTTCTATGAGGTGATGATATGGTCACAAGGTTATATGCGCGCGGAGCACTTCCACGACGAGACGGTAGCGGAGGCTAGAGCGACGGTGAGAGGATGAGCTGGAAAGAGATGAGGACTGAGTACGGAAGAGGAGAGTGAGGCAGTCGAAAGAGTGAGAGAGCGCATTAAAGAACCACTCTTGAACCAGGTAAAGGAGTTGGGAAACAAGTTAAGGGAGATCTGATCGTGCTAGGATGAGGGCAAGTTGCGTAGGGCTGAGCTCGTGACGAGAGAGTTAGAGAGTTTGTTTAGGGAGGAGAGAGAGATTATCTCGGTGTGGAGATCAAACTTTCTGGAGAGGGTAAAAGCTAGGAGCGTATCACGCGAAGGAACTAGGGGGAGGTCTGCAGAGGGCGAGTCGACGAAGGACAAGGCAACGCAGGGAGGTAGCGACAGGACATGAGCGGGACTGCACTACACACGACGGATCGGTACTCATTGCATATGGTAGGGAGACTGGACGGGCCGTTGGTGTTAGTGATCGTAGAGCTCCAGCTCCATACCTGACTGTGCATAGTTGAGGAGGCAGATTGTGTCCGCCGTGCGGTGCGTGAGGCTAGGGGAACATGACTTTGGATTGGAATAGAAGGAGGACGGAGGATAAAATACGTACTCCGAGTGACACCTTTCGAAGGGCCGTCTCGGATAAGGGCATGGTACGAGACGACCAGAGAGGCTGAGAGGTTGAAGATAAGCGAAGCCAGGAAAGCTGGAGAGTTAGGGAGAGTTGTAACAGACGGTGCCATACTCAGGGTGCTAGCCGCTCACGATCGGTACAATAAGGAATCGATAAAGACTTTAGAGGTCATAGAGGATAGTGGAGATAAGGAGGACTTTGAGATATTCTATGACATATTGGAGCTATCGGCGATGAGGCTACGAGTGGTCATAACACTGACTTACCTCAGGTGCTAGACAGATGACCGCACAACCGTCTGGGAGTTAAAGGAGGAGAGATAGAGATTGGAAGCTCTTGGAAGGATAGTGGAAGCTATAAGGGTCGACGAACAACTTTCGATGACAATAGGAGGGGACCTTCCTCCTTTAGCAGGCTACGCGATTCAGGACGGGCTAGGAGACCTAGCAAGGAGGACGGAGCTAGACGCTCGGAGGCTCTTGAGGGGTACTGATCAGGAGACATTTGTTAGGCTTGGGACCGCGATCTGCCGCAGGAGTAGAGACCCTGTCACGGGTGTACTGCAGATCCGGAGAGGCGCGGCCTTGTTGGCCGATCCCGAAGGAGAGGTTTACCTAGACACAGGGATTTTTGGGATAGAGGGAGAGCACGAGATCCGCGACCGATACGGAGTACTGGAGGTGGTAATCAGGGCAGTCGAGAACTAGGATTGGAGACGAGCGTGAACCGTGACAAGGAAACTGGTCCGGGCTGCGAGTTCTGTCACAAGTCCGGGCTGGTATAAATGTCATAGGTCCGGGCTGTAACGCCCGGCGTGAGAGCCCAACTGCATCATCTGGTGGCCTATGGAACCAGACACGATGGGGCCACAACCGACCACGGGCGAAGCGGGGGAGGAGTACAAGACATCGCCTGACCGAGCTCTGAGGGATCTGAAGGAATAAATTAGGCGAGAAACACCGCTGAGATGGGCTGACCAAACCAATGACGGAGAGCTCGACGTAATGGGCGAGCCGGTTGTGACAGAGCCGCAGGAGGCTTTGAAGACAGGAACCTCGAGCGGACGACGAGAAGCGACGAGACGACGTTCCCCCAAGTATGAGCGGAGGGAGACCATGGAGGATAGGCACATGGACGACTGGAGAGAGAGTTCGAGGGAATCGTATTGGAGGGACAAAGACAGGGATAGAGCACCTCCAAGGCTAGTCTTCGACCCCCAGACCGGGGAGTCACATCCGCTCCCTTATGAGAGCAAGGATCACTATATTATTACGCACAAGGCCTCGAAGCCTCCTACTTTCAGGGGTTATGGCATCACAGAATATCTGGAAAAGTGGGAACTTCACGTCATCCGGAGTCAGTGGTCGGAGGAAGAGATTATAGAGAACTTCCTATTTAATGTAGATCCAAGTCTCGGCAAGGAAGTTAAGGAAGCCCGACCCAAGGATGGGAAATGGACTACGTACAAAAAAAACCTCATAGAGCTTTACAAATTGGAGGATAACAAGTACTCCATCAAGGACCTCGAGACAATGACCCAAGATGAAGATGAGAGCGTACGGGCATTTGGGATGCGCTTCCAGAAGATCTTCGACGTGCTGATGAAGAAGGGGAAGATCTCGGAGGTCGAGCGCTGTACTATCTTCATTGGACACCTGTCCAAAGGTAGACAAAAGAGTATACTTAGAGATCTTCCGCGGGACAAGCTTGGCCTCCCAGAAGTCCTAAAGCTCGAGATAAAGGCAGAGGCAGACGACTATAAGGACTTGGTGTGGAGAGGGATGAGGAGACGTGACTTCTCTCTCTACAAGGAGTATGCCACTGATAGATGTCCTGATTTCAAGGCATATCCCTGGCCGGAAAAGAATAAAGCTGTGACCGAGGATCCCCGAACGCTGACTGATTATCGTGCGAGGGAAAGGGATAGAGACGATGAACCATGGCGGCGTAGGGATGATGAGATAGACCGGGACCGCAGGACTCGGGAGATGTACGGGCGTGCTAGGCGACTGGATGACTACTCACGTAGCCCTCGCTATGAGCCTGACGGGGGTAGAGGCGACTCTCGAGGCCGGTGGGAGTCGGATCAGGACCGACGAGACGGATACAAGGATGACAAATATGCGAGATCGGACCGAGATGGACATAGAGACGACAGATATGAGAGGACGGATCGAGACGAATACAGGGGCGGCAGATATGAGAGAGGGGATCGACCCGATGATTCACGAGGGCGGTACGACCGAGATGACCGGCGTGATGATTCGCGCGGGCGGTACGACCGAGGAGACCGACGAGATGATTCACGCGGGCGGTACGACCGTGGAGACCGACGTGATAATTCACGCTGGCGATACGACCGAGGAGACCGACGTGATGATTAACACGGGCGATACAAACACGGAGACCGCCGCAATGATTTGCGCGGCAGGAATGAGAGAGGGGGATATGGCGCTTCGGCTGATCCGTATCCAAAGTCCCCTGACCACAGAGCAGCCAGGGGTTCGACTTCTAGGAGCGCAGACGATAGGCCGCCCACTCCCATGAACTCTTGCGTCTACTATAGAAGGGATAATCATATCAAGAGAGACTGTCCGGATCTCAAACGGGCGATAGATGAGGGACTTGTCGTGCTTGACGACCTCAAGTACGTCAAGTGGGCAGATGATCTGGGAGATGTATCGATGTTCCCTTCGATGAAGGAGAATGTCGAAGCAAGGAGAGTAAAGCCGAGTAAAGGAAAGGAGCCGGTCAGGAGCCAGAGCATCAAGATAACTTTTGAGGGGGATATGGCGACCACACCCATAAGAGTGGCAGCCACCAAGTCGGCGAGAGGGTCTACATCGAAGAAGACTGACACGGATTACGTGATGGCGGAGAAGGACGGACGACGGATCGAGGGAGAGGAAGTTATTCTTTCGCCGCGGAAGCGGGGAGTGAAGAAGTTCTTGGTGAAGAGTTCGCTGGACGAGATTGACATGGTCGAGCCACAGAGGCGGGCCCTTCGGCAGCCCATGCAGTGCTTTATTCTGGAGTACCTGGCGGCATCGAAGCCTGCTCGCGATGAGTTACAGATGGTCACGTGGAAGACTCGCATACCTCTATCAGAGGAGGCTCAAGGGGCCCCTAAGGCGGAAACTCCTACTGTAGCAGTAACGGGGGTGAGTGCCAGAGTGGATCGCATGGCGACAGTCCTTCTGATGGGATGGAAGGTGTGCCTCCAGACAAGTTTTACATTCTTGGTAGTGGGACCGTGGAGACGATCATAAATGACGGAGCGGTACTAGATGCTGTGGTCGATAACGGCAGTGAGGCTGTCATTATAGACGAGGATCTGGCAGTGCAGGTTGCACTAGAGCTCGATAGGTCATACCTATTCGAGATAGAGCCGACTGATGGAAGAAAGCAACAGATCACTGGGGTTTGTCACAAGGCAGCCATAGAGGTACAAGGGGTACGAGTGACCCTGCCTGTTTTTGCAGTCAAGAACTGCAGCTCCGACCTGCTTTTGGGACGAACGTGGTTGAGCCACGTGCATGCAGTGACGATAGAGCGACCGGATGGGAGCCAGACATTGTCCATTAAGAAGCTAGACGGGACGCAGGTAATGATTGAGACAGTGGAGCCTCGGGATCCGAGGAACAGAGCAACTCTCGCTGTGGGTGCAAGACCCAGTGATCAAATTAAGTTATTACCTATCTCCGGCCGCGAGGTGCGATTTCGCGAGAAGAAGTATGGACCACTGCTCACAGAGGAAGAAGGTCGGATCGTGGAGGTAAAAGATTTAGGGAGTCGGCTGATAGTGGACGGGAACTCGTACCCAAAGGAGACAGAGCAGGAATTTGGCGGGGTAGTATATGTCTTTTTTAAGGGCACGGCCCCCTATGGGGGGCTACCCAAGCGACACAAGCGAGTAGCACAAAAAGTTAAACTAGCGGCGGTGGGCCGCGAGCGATCTGCACTGGAAGGAATATCGGAAGAAGAGATCGCAAAAGAAATCAAAGAAAGAAAGAAAAAGGAGCCGCAACGCCTAACGGAAGAGAGGATAGCAGGGATGGACATCGGAGATGGGAATTTGACCCCACAGGAGCGAGAACGTGTGATAGAAATCTTGAAGACATGTGATAAGGCAATAGCTTTCAGCGACGCAGAGCGCGGTAGGGTTGACCCTCGATACGCTAAGCCAGCGAGGATTTACACGATTCCACATGTTCCTTGGAATGACGCAGGATGGAAGTACGCCATGAAGGAGAAGGAAGAAATTATCGCTTTCCTGAAGGAAAAGATGGTTTCCCATGTTGCGGAACCGTCAGATAGCGCTTATGCAAATCAATAGTTCTTCCTACAAAAGCCGAATGGCAAGATCCGATCGATCCAGGATCTTCAAAAGGTCAACGCGGTGACGATACGAGACGTGGGCTCCGTGCCACACGCCAATTTACTGGCTGAAGGCGCCGCAGGCAGGTCAATTTATTCAGTCTGTGATCTGTTCGTAGGCTATGATGAGGTACCGCTTGATCCTAGGGACAGACACCTCACGGCTATGCACACGCCATTGGGACTGATACAGATGATGGTTGTCCCTATGGGTTGGACTAATGGGGTACCGTTTTTCAGAGAGCCATGGTAGCCGTCCTTAACGACTTCATCCCTGATAAGGTTGAAGTTTTTCTAGATGACTTTCCTATAAAAGAGCCGGTAGACAAGGATGAGACAGAGGTTGTACCAGGAGTGAGAAGATTCGTCGAGCAACACCTAACACATATTTGCGCGGTACTCGAGCAGCTGGACGATGCAAATTTAACGGTCAGCGGAACAAAGAGCCGATGAGCCGTCTCGACTATTAAGATCTTGGGTTTTATCTGTGGTACAAGAGATCCGACAGTTTCTGGGAGTGGTCGGTTACTGGCGGATATTCATACGGGGGTATGCGGAGAAGGCTGAGTCATTGAGGTTACTCCTTCGAAAGACTGAAAATTTTTACTGGGATTCCTCGCAGGAACTCGCTATGCAAGAGCTTAAGGAGGAATTTAAGGAGGGAGGACGTGTACTGGGAGTGTCATTCTTTGACAACGAGACCGAGAGACCCTTCATAGTATCCACGGATGCTGGACCTTGTTCAGTTGGAGGGCTGCTGTCTCGGAAAGACGCTGAAGGAAAGAAAAGGCCGTTAAGATTTGAGAGTGGGACACTTAATACGGCAGAGCGAAACTACAGTCAATTCGAAAAGGAAGTGTTAGCTGTTCTGCGGTGTCTAGACACGTTCAAACATTATATCTACGGACGACGATTCGTCTTCAGAGTAGATCCCACAGCAGTTGCCTCGGTCCTCCAGAAGGACTTTAGTCTGACGGACCCGACCATCGCTCGATGGTTGATACGGATTCGGCTATATGATTACGCAGTCGAGAGGATATCTGACACTAAAAAATGCCGTGGCAGATGGGCTTTCGCGGATCCCTCTTGAGGCCGAGCGCCCGATAGTAGCTGGGGCCCTTACATAGGCATAGCCGAAACGCGCTGAACGATTTCCGGTTAACCTTTACGAGGGCAAGTACCGAAAGATCGGGCTACACCTAACAGGAGAGGAGAGTTAAGATTCAGATATCCGGAGACAAGCAGCCCAGTACCGCCTTAGAGCGGGCCACCTTTTCCGAAGGCCAGTAGGGTCTGAGATGCCCTTACGAGTAGTCTGTGATCCTGAGGAGAGACAGACGATAGTAACGGAGCTTCACGACGGGGTGGTCAGATGACATAGAGGAGTCAAAGGAACCTACGAAAAGGTACGCAGGTTGTACTGGTGGGAAGGACAGTATAAGGACGTCGAGAGGTACTGTATGACCTGCGAGAAGTGCCAGAAGAAAGCTCTTGTGAAATACAAAGAGCCACTTTATCCATCCTATCCAACCAGATTAGAGGAGAAGGTACACATTGATCTGGTGAAGATGCCGAAAGGGGTAGGCAATATGAACTATGTCGTGAACATACGAGACGACTTCACGGGGTTCGTGGACGTTAGACCTATTAAGAGTAAGACAGCAAAGGAAGTGAAGAACTTCGTACTAGAGTACTTATCTAGGTATGGTTGTGTCAGCAAGATAGTGATGGACAAAGGGGCGGAATTCCTAGCTGACGAGGTTCAGAGCGTGCTCAAGAGAGCTGGGGCGAGAGTTTCGATAGCCACTGCCTACCACCCACAATCGAACTCTCCAGTAGAAAGGGGTCATCAGACTCTGATAGCCTCACTATCCAAGTGGTGCAAAGGTAAGGACAACGATTAACCACGATATTTTCAATATGCAATATGGGCGGACAACGTCACGGTCCGGGCTAGCACTGGATACCCAGCATACACCTTGTGGTTTGGGCGGCATTGTCCGCTGCCTATAGAGTTTCAGGTCGATAGCTGGACAACCGTCGACTGGGCGGAGGAGATGTCCACAGAGGAACTCATAGCTGCCCGAACAAGACAGATAACCTACGGTTTGGAAGATAACCTTATGACAGCGGCAGATCGTCTGGCAGTGGAAAGGGACAAGGGTAAAGAGAGATGGGATAAAAACGTGTGAATCAGGAAAGAGAGGGTGAGCGTAGGAGATATGGTCCTTCTCTACGACGCAGCACTGGAGAGGACCTGGACCGGAAAACTCGCCAACAGATGGATGGGACCTTACAGAGTGGTTGAGGCACTCAACTGGGGTGCATATATGATAGCAGAATTAGACGGATCCAAGTGGAAGGACCCAGTGGCGGGTGCTAGGTTAAAGTTGTTTAGACCCAGGCCCGCACCCACCTTATTGCTGACAAGCCCAAAAGGGAAAGGAAAAACCAGAATGGAGGATGAAGCCCCCTTGAGGCGATTCGAGGCAGGGGAGAGTTGCAAGAACAGGAAAAGAATAGAGAAAAGAAAGGTCAAAGGGTTAGCTTTAGGAATAGAGAAAAAATGGTTATTCGTGCTCAAGAGGGCTAGACGAAGAGTTCGCGTTAGACGGACTGGCGGGTCGGCACCCTTCTCAGGGCAAAGACAGAAGAAAAAAAGGATCGTGCCGAGGCCAAAAACCAAAAAAAGCAGAAAAGTCAAGAAGCATCTTCTTAGCCCCAGGATTCATAACAAACTGAAATATAAGACAATTGGATGCCGACGTCGGCTTCCTTTACGGACCATCACCCTGAAGCTTGTCCGCTTCGTCTGACGTAAGTAATTAGGGCTCGACGGAGGCATCGAGAAGTGGTCCAGGCTAACTGTCAGGCGGCCACAAGCAGTGCGCCGCCTGAAATCTGCGGCTTTGGGGCTTAGGCTCAAAGACAAGTCCGTGTTTTGACGGTGCTCCAGGTTGACCAGGCAACAAAAATTAGTGGAGCTCAGGGCACCCCTGACTATGGGCACACTGAACCTTACGAGTAACCCTCAGAGATAGCGAGATGGGTGGACGCACACGACACATCTAGGGACCGTCATTTCTGGCAGTTCCTAGGCTAGACCTGGGATGGCATGCCGCGGAGAGGCATCGAGGGAACTGACCTCGCTGCAACGTTTTGGCGACATACGACCAGGGCCGAAATGAGGCCTCAAATTTTTTCTATTTTAGTCCCATAATTAAAGATGGGGAAAAGGGATTAAGACCAGTAGGGGAGAAGGGAAAAACATAATATCCCTTAGTTTCTTTAATTTTTCCGGCATCTAAATCTAGGGGGAATACCCTTGTTATTTTATGTTCCTGGCAATGAAATTAAAAACATAGAAAAATATTAAAAATGGTAAAAGAGAAAAAAAACAAAAGGAATACGACAATTTATTTAAACTTTCTCAGAGTTTAATTTTGGGGATCTTACGGTTAATTTACTATTTCCGACAATAGAATTAAGGAAAGGGAAGAACGATGAAAAACAGTGAAAGGGGACAGGAAACGATGACAATTGGGAGATGGGACTAATCTCGCCTTGATTACCCGCCACTAGCCCTGACCTCAGATTGAACATTTTTACCGGAATTTAACAGTTTTCACTACTACCGATGGTCGGGGTTTCCTGCGTCGTTTTCCCTGGTTTGCTTGATTACTAACATTACCGCAGCTGGGATGTTCTGAGAGCGGGAGTCGCATGGACAACCTGGGGTGGTGCTACCTTGGGTTGACTATGGTGTTTGGTTCAGTACGGATACGAGGGTTGTCACGGAGAGGTTACGTCCTACGGTGTCTGACGTGCAACAGGTACGGTATGGGCCCGGTGACAACTGTTTCACTACGGTGGATTCTCTTCAGGTCTGGGACAGCTGCGGTGATTTATTATCAGCATCGGGGCTACTGCGGCAGTTATTCCAGGTTTGGAACCTCGGCGGCAGTTTGTTTTCAGGTCCGAAAACGTCGCGGCATTCTATATCAGGTTCGGGACAGGTACGGAATTATCATGGCATGGCTGTACGGGTTCGGCATCCATGTGGCACAGCAACCCGGTACTGGATTGCGGGTTTGGTCAGATTCGGTGGCATCGCGGAGTTTCGTTTCAGGTTCGACGCCCTCACGACGATTTATTTCAGGTTCGGGGCCTTTATGGCGGTTTACCTCAGGATCGGTGACACCACCGCCGCNGAGTTTCGTTTCAGGTTCGACGCCCTCACGACGATTTATTTCAGGTTCGGGGCCTTTATGGCGGTTTACCTCAGGATCGGTGACACCACCGCCGCTTAAACTTGAGGTTCGGAGCCGTCACACCGATTTATTTTCAGGATTGGCTCGACCACGGCACGCTAATACCACTTCGGTACCCCTGCGGGTGCCCCTACGGCGTGACTACTTCAGGTTTGGCGGCGACACGCCAAGCTATTTCAAGTACGACATTATTGTGGATCCACCGTCTGCCTGTGCGGTACCATCATGGAGGAATGTTATTGCACGGCGTCCCTCAATTTTCGAGCTGGTACGGCTCCGGTTCTGCTGGGGTACGCACCGCTGCGTCTATTTCAGGTGGTTGAACGGGATGCTGAAGCTCCAAACCGGCACTGGTGCAGTTTTCTCAGACTCCAATTCAGTTTTACACGAATGACACACCCGACATGACCTACTGTGGTGCGGGGAAGGTTCCTTGGTACGAGCACTGCAAGAAAAGGACCTTGCTGAGGTTTTGGGAAGCGCGGATCCTCCAGTCGCAGGTTCAGCACTGGAACGATGGGCCGTGCCCCTRATTTTARGGCCGGTCACTGTTTGGACGCTGACCCGGCTCATTGCAGTTCGGCCTAGTTTTTYTTTTGGAGTYTGCTTCGCCKCATCTAGTSCGGGGGTCYGGTTAAGCGGGGCTACGATGGTAYTAYTGGCCCGGGGCTGCCGCCGCRGCTGGGGTACGTGCTATAGTACCRGGCCACCCATTGCAAAAGTCGGGGGACTTAACGTTCTTCAGACGCAGTGCYTGGGATATATGGA